TCACTCAATCACTCACGCGGGCATGCACTGTGGTCTCATGAGGAAACGCTGCTTTTTGATATAGTGTTTTTCTTGCTCCCGAATACAAATAATTTTTCAAGTATTTGTTCGAATCAAGTATTCGTAAAAACACGCTATTCGTGCCTTTCCGAATACCGTATTCGGGTTCGGCTCCACCCTTAATATATATATATATATACACAGTTGAAGTCAGAATTGTTAGCCCCCGTTTATTTTTTCCCCAATTTCTGTTTAACGGAGAGAAGATTTTTTTCCACACATTTCTAAACATATTAGTTTTAGTAACTCATTTCTAATAACTGATTTATTTTATCTTTGCCATGATGACAGTAAATAATACTTGACTAGATATTTTTAAGACACTTCTATACAGCTTAAAGTGACATTTAAAGGCTTCACTAGGTTAATCAAGTTACAAGTTAAGGTAATTAGGCAAGTTATTTTATTACAATGGTTTGTTCTGAAGACTTAAGGGGCTAATAATTTTGACCTTAAATGGTTCATAAAAAAATTAAAACCACTTTTATTCTAGCCGAAATACAACAAATAGGTCTTTCTCCAGAAGAAAAAATATTATCAGACATACTGTAAAAATGTCCTTGCTCTGTTAAACATCATTTGGGAAATATTTAAAAAAGAAGAAATAAATCAAAGAGGGGCAAATAATTCTGACTTCAACTGTGTGTATATAGATAGATAGATAGATAGATAGATAGACAGACAGACAGACAGACAGACAGACAGACAGATAGATAGAGAGACAGACAGACAGACAGACAAATAGACAGATAGATAGATAGACAGATAGATAGATAGATAGATAGATAGATAGATAGATAGACAGACAGACAGACAGACAGACAGATAGATAGAGAGACAGACAGACAGACAGACAAATAGACAGATAGATAGATAGACAGATAGATAGATAGATAGATAGACAGACAGACAGACAGAGAGACAGACAGACAGACAGACAAATAGACAGATAGATAGATAGATAGAGAGACAGACAGACAGACAGAGAGACAGACAGACAGACAGACAGACAAATAGACAGACAGATAGATAGATAGATAGATAGATAGATAGATAGATAGATAGATAGATAGATCATAACAAGAACTGCTGCTTAATTGAATGCATGTAATAGCGACACCCGGTGGTTATTTATTGAATTACGTTCATTTTTGTATAGCGGGCCAGATTCTATTGATATTTATAAAAAGCCTCGCGGGCCGCCACAAAACTGACTGCGGGCCGCAGATGGCCCGCGGGCCGTAGTTTGGACACGCCTGCTCAAAAGAGTTCATGCTCGTCGTAATCATAACTCTAAAATGCGATATGATTATTTAAATAATGTGCACGCTTTCGGTTTCATTTCCACTGCTAAGTGCTGTTCATACTTCCCACGCGGCTCCTGAACGATCACTCTGTTCCACAAACTGAATATTGTTTACTACTTTATTACCTGTTAGTCACAACCTGCAAGTTCTGTTCACTGAAGCAGACGCGCGCGCCTCTATCATAGTCCACACTCTGTAGTAACAGCTCACGGTCAGCTCACGTCATGTGTGATTTTGCGGCCGCCAAAAATGGAAATGGCCATAAAAGCGTACCGAACCACTCAATGGAAACAGGTCATTATGGTCTTAAATTCCAATAAACTGATTAAGTTTTAATACTTTAAGACCCCACAGACACTGATTGTAGTTTCTATTAAAACCTTACCAGACTCAAATTTTATTCGAAGATTGTTTTAAATATGCATTGATTGATAAATAAATTATTTCCATCCCATTCCAGACTAAAGAAAGAAATAAAAAAGCACTATGGGCTAACCTAGAGCATATAATGCTGCAAAATGCATAAAAGATTGACCAAACTTTGATTCTTCTTCAAAAAGATAATAAAACAAACCAGAAAAACAATACGAGCTGTTATATACACTAGTCTATATATTTTGTGAATTATGATTTATTATACAAACAACTTTTACAGCACATTAATAGATAATTATTTTTAGCTTATCAATTTTACAGCCAATTATTGACATTTCATATTTCCGTAATACTTTAAAATAATTTTAGCCCATGAGTTCAGAATCAGAATAATTACATAAATTATTTGTTATTCATAGTTCAAAACTTACTAATGCCTTAATAAATTAAAAAATACAAATACAAAAATACAAAATACAAAAAATGTTAAATCCAGAGCTGTTCGTGTTAACATTAATGTAATAATTTAACATGAACATTACGTTAAATATTGTGTACAAAGATGAATATCACAATGAATGTATTATTGTTTGTTCATGTTAGTAAAGGCATTAATCAACCTTTATCTTGACAAAAAAAATTATATATATATATATATATATATATAT